TCTTTTCGAGTCACATGATTTTCGAGTACGCCTAACAGGACGATTCCTTTAGTGGTGGGTTGAAGAGATCTCCAATACTTGAATTGCTTGAATTTTCTCTACTTTCGTCCCATGATTAATTGTTACGAATTCTAATCGGCAGCAAATCCATGTTGTTGCCTGCAGCCATGACATGCTCCTCTTCGATGATGATGCTGACCAAGTGGATAAAATTAACGTTATATATTTATGTTCTATTTTGAAATTCATAAAAATATTTTTTTTAATATAATTTTATATATCAATACTTGTATAAATAAGATTCATCGTAAATTTTTACTCACAAACTTCTTAATTTTCTTCTTCTTTTTCGTTCTTTGTCTCTTAAAATTTTTTCTTAAATAAATTTTATCTACTTTCAATTATTTATTTTGATTTTTTTTTTCACTTAACGAAACTAAATCAAAACCAATTCAACCCCTATGTTAATTTATGTCAAATTTTCAACCTTCCATTAATTCAAATTCTCAAAATTCTCCACATTTACCACACCCACAAAATTATACAAATATATAAACAATTTTCGATCACCACCAATTAACTCCACAATGGATCATGGCACTTCAATGGGTATTAGTAAAGGTCAATCTTGTGAAAAAGATCTAGAAACATCACCTGAAGTTTGTATTTGAACCTCAAATTCCATTATTTTCAACTCAAATTGGGTTGGATAATATTACTTTCGATGAAGAAGAGAAAGAAGAGTCAACTTCTAAACAAAAAAGATCAAGTCTCAACATGGAGGAAGATAAATTTCTCATCCAATCATATTTAAGTATTTTGAAGGATTCAATTATGGGGGTAACCAAAAAGAATATTCCTTTCGATCAAAGATTAAAGATAATTATAATGAGTATTGCAGTCATTTGCAATAAAGGGAAACACACAACTGAAATGTCGATTACAAAAGTTAAATAAATTTATTCAAAAATTTGTAGGATGTTACAAACAAGCTTCTAAAAGAAAGAAGACTAGTAGCAACGAGACTGATATCATGCGAGATGTAATCTGACTCTACACATGTTCAAATTAGTTTTAACCAGGGGTGATACAATCTTCTAGTTAACTCATGTATATGAGTTTTGGTACCCCTTGTACCTTTATATATATTTATATAAATTTTTGTTGGCTGATTTAAAAATTCATACGAAAAATTTATTCTCAAGATTTTGTGATTCATTCAAGTTAGAACATGCATGATGGTTGTTGAAGGATGAACCAAAATGGTCAAATGTATCATTTGAAAGAGCTAGTAAGGAAATAAAGATTTCCACTTCATGTGCATACTCGTCATCTTCTAATCCATAAACACCACGAAGTGGAAAATACAACCCAACTTCATCTTTTATGGCTTGTCCAATATTGGGAACAAAAGCGACAAAGATAAAGGGAAAATAAATCTTAAAGGAAACAATTAACCTCAATGCAAGAGAAGAATTAGCACGTGCCAAACATGAACACAACAAATTAAAAGAGAGAGAGAGAGAGTTGAGCATGAAGGAACAAGAACTTAAGTATGAAATTATCTTCAAATAACAAAATCAATATGCTCAATGAATCTCCCATGTTTAATGAGGTTTTGGAAGGACAAGTCCTATGGATGCAATATAAACCTAATATGACCTGGGGTAATATTTAACCGATAATATTTATCCGGAATAGATTATGCTGATTAATACTATCCCAATGTTATAATGAGATAAAAGAAAATTGTTTGTCTAACATCAAGAAACAACAAGAAATAACATGGAGCAATATGTATTTGGAGTACTTCAATCTTGATTTGTAATTATACGTATGTGACTGTGTGTGTTTGACACATAAATACGAGCAAGCATATATTATATGCATGCATCATATTATACAATATAATTGTGAAAGATGAAGAACAAACATATGATGATAATTTTTAAGCGCACAAGATGCAATTATAAATCTGACCATTGAATTTTATAAATTCTAATTTATGGTGAAATAAAAAATCTATAATGGACTTGATTCATAATTCATGCAGTTTTACCCGTGATCAAAATCCGTTATGAAAACAAAGGGTAAAAGTTATTTGACGTAAAAGTGGCCTTTACTCGTGTCTCTCTGTCCGTAGAAAAGTAGAGAGAAAATCCGTTGCGGGCGTAGAGATACCGGATACGCGCGTTGAACGAAAGCAAGAGTTGATCGAAAACAGTGGGTCCAATCTAGTACAGTGTTCTACGGCTGTCCCGTCACCGTTGAAACCGTACGAATCCTCTTCTCTTTCATCGTGCACCTTTAACAGAAAAGCAAAAAAATAAACCTATCCGTGCGCTAACATTTTCACTCACACCTCGTATTCGTATATATACACCAACCACATAACACCTTTTTCCTTCACATAACCAACTATGCCAAACACGCCGCGAACCAGAAAAAGAAACAACCTCAGCCGCCTCAACCTAAACCTATGTTTCTCAAATCCAATGCAACCCTTCACACCCGAGTCTCCTACATCCGTTGATCACAATCACAACCCTGCATCCTCACCCGCCACGTCATCAACGAACCTCGAATCCAAATCCGAACCCGAACCTGCCGACTTCGCCACCGCCTGCGCCTCCCAGCGCTTCTTCTTCTCCTCCCCCGGCCGCTCCAACTCCATCGTCGAATCCACCGGCGCCGCCGTGGAGGAGAGGGCGAGGGCGGCGTTCTCCGGGAGCGTGGCGGTGGCGACGTACTCGCCGGACCCTTACGCGGACTTCCGGCGGTCGATGGAGGAGATGGTGGAGGCGCGTCCGGAGTTGATGGACGTGAAGTCCAATTGGGACGTGCTGCAGGAGCTTCTTCTCTGCTATCTGGCGCTCAACCCCAAAACCACGCACAAGTTCATTCTCACTGCCTTCTCTGACCTTCTCGTTAGCCTCGTCGGCTTCTCCTCCTCCGCCTCTTCGCCGCCGCCGAATCCCGCTCCCGACGACGTCGCCTCCGGTGGCTGTTCCAATTAGATTTAAGTTTTAACTGTTGAGAATTTGCATGTGCATCTCTAACTGTAAGTTGGAAACTTAACATGCTTAGGGGTATAATTGACATTATGTTGCAATAGAATCAAAATCAATATATTATTATTATTATTATTATATGTATAAAGTTTTTGCATTATTTTTTAATTAATGTGCTGCTTCACAATTTTTTGAGCAGTAGGAAGTGACGTCTTTGATTTTTCTTGTTTTCTGTTTTTTAGGTGAAACCTGAACCCGATCCCAAAGTTGGTCCCCGTTGCTATGCATTCGGTGTCCTTATGCATCTTTTCCAAATTTTTTTCTTCTTCTCTGTGTGGGAATAGTACCAATATTATATATATCGTAAAAGTCACGTTTTTATAATACTACATTTTTTTCTTCTTCTAATTTTCTATTATATATTTTATCTTATTTCATAAATTTTATAAAAATTTGAATAGGAACTTTATTACTCTTATTTCATAAATGTTATAATGTGACTAATTTTATTTCAATAGCATTTCTCTCATTAGTTCGTCGTGAGTGGTTAAATGTTTGGTTCTCTTATGCTAGTTACTTTTTTTTTACGTACAGTCAACTTCTTTTTATTTGATGACTTTTTATTATTATTTAAATTTAAGATTTTTTTTAATTAAACTAAAGAAAAAAATGTAAAAGGATATTGCTACTGTTTTTCTGTTACAAAATTGTGACGATTTTACTAGGTAATTTCTTTTTGGGCTTGGGGAGGTAAAATTCATTCAAATACGTAGGATGTGAGGAATAAATGATCTAATTGTGCTAGCCATATTAGCCTATAAATAATTATATTTATGATTCTTAAGTATTTAACTCTCTAGTTATTTTTTAAAATTATGATTGAATTAATTTCTAAAGTTCAAGATGTAATAAGCGATACAAGAAATGTTATTGAATTTGATAATGTGATTATTGAATTAGATTATCAATTGATAGTGGATAAATTAATTCATAATAATGAAGAAGGTATTTTTGAACGTGACATGATTTTTAATGAAATTTCATTTATTTATAATGAAATTTCTTATTTATTTAGAATATTATTTTAATGGGAGGAATATGATTTTCTTATTCTAAGAAAGAAAAGAAATCGGCATTTTTTTTTCAAAGTAATGCTAGTTATATATAAGACTGGTATTTTCAGATAGATGATATATAATTTATTAATACGATATTGATTCATTTAATAGCAATTCTTCTCGCATATATAAATTTTGAAATTTAACTCAAAATAACGACATATTTAAGGATTTTAAATATCGTTCACTCGAACAACACTTTATTTAAGAGTTAATTTATCATTTAGAGACCAAATTACTTTAAATTCTTTTTACTCGCTTAAGAAAAATGCAAAACTTTCTAATTCCATGCATATCCATTATACACATTACAGATAGTAAGGCTATCTGTGCGGCGAAAGGCATTTGGGAAATTCAGAATAATTTGCAGAAAAAAGCGGTTTGTAAACAACAAGATTAAAAAAAAAAAAAGATTGGGCAGTTTGTATATCTTGGTTTGTAACAAGGCAAATTTCTTGTCAAGTTAGAAGAAAGAACAAAATTGGTCTGAACTCACAAGTTTTATTTTATCTATACTATATTCATGAATCATAATAGTGTTTCGAGCTGAGATCTTCTCACGCAATGCCATTGTACCTATTTTGGTGTCTTTCTCATTTATACCCCAAATCCCAGTCAAGTTTCGTCAGATTCTATGCAGACAAATAAAAGACGTAATTAAAATTTGCAGGTGGCCTATTCAGTCTCTATTATACCTCCGATTTGTCCTTAGATCTTGCATTGGGTTCTTAACTCATTTATATCATTATATTTATTAGTAGTATTATTTATTAACTCTTAAACTATTTTTTTTTTATAACCACTCAGATAATCAGATTAGCTAAATAACCAGGAAAAGAGTTAGGATGTACACGTGAGACTGAGACTATATTCAATTTTCATACTCTTTTTAATCTTTCTTATAATTAAAAAAAGATTGTTCCTTAAAAGAAATTGTGACAAGTCAATATCAATAAATAAGTATTTAGTTCTTCGACTTATTCGTCTTTTGATTTATATGGAATCTTTGCATCCAGACAGTGAATAGATCAGAGAAATGGCCACATCCACATGCAGATAAGAAAATAAAGAATTGGCAAACAGCTAGATAAAATCAGAATCAGAATTTGGTACCCCCTCCTCCCTTTTTCTGTTCTGGATTCTTGATTATTTATTTATTTATTTATAATGAATTTAGGGTATAAGCCACGCGGAAGATTCAGCCAAACTTTAATTTGGCCGTTGTCTCTCTCTTCCTTGGATTGAGCTGAGTCTAATTACTATAGCTGCTACACAGTAGCAAGGGTCAAACCGAAAAATAATAAAAAATTAAAATACGAAGTTTATTGTATTTTTTTTAGTGGAAACTTAATTATGATAAGAACATGCAGATAATAATTAATAGTACTATCGTTGGAGGAACAGTCCAGTTGTTACTTGCCAGCATATGCCAACTGCAAGTCGGCAAAATATATCCTCGACACAAATCATTTTCTCTCTGAATAAGTGACTGTTTAGATCAGCGTGAACAATGCATGTTTTTAGTAAATTGACGTCTAAAATATCAAATTAACGAAAAAGCAAGTATTTAACTTTGTATTGATATATGTTCTGATATGCTGACTCGGAATTAAACAGGCACTAAAACTTCACAAAGTTTTGTACAATTATAAAAGCTACATAAAGAAAAGAGAAAAATGTGTAATAAAATGTTGAATTAATGAAGAGAGGATATAAAATTTTTTATAAGGATATTGTAAAAGTAATATTATAACTTTATACGTAATTAATTAAAAATGGTGGTCATCAAATAAAAAATGGTGAAAAAGTATATAAAAATAGAAAAAATTACATATAACTTAAAATTTGTCTATATAATTAAGATCTATATATATAACCATATCTACACTTTTACTTTTAAATTTTAAGGATACTTTGATACAACTACAAATGTTGAATAATAAGGTAGGTTTCATATAAGTTTTTAAAAAAATATTTTCTAGATTATAAAAAATTATCCCATGAAGTTTTAGGATACACTTTGAAGATATCCGTATATAAAAAGAGAAAAAAAAAAGCGATAAAAATGCAATCTACATATGATTTGAATTTTTTGATATATTCAAATAATAATAGAATTATCATAAGTCTAAAACCAAATGGCTTTTCTTCTAGAATGCACTGCTAGATTCAGTAATGTCCTTGAAAATCCCAAACCCCTAGAATTTCTAGATTCACTACCTATAATTTCTATATTCACTAATATCTTTGAAATTCTAACACCCACAATAGCTAACTTACTTAGGATTTATTCGATTTTGTTAGAAAATATTCTATTTTTATATTTATTTTCATACCAATTATTAAAGTATTATTTTCAATTCTTTTTGAAAGGTTTCCGTAAAAATAAAAGAAATAAAAAATACTATCGCTGTCCATTTTCGGACAAATAAAACAAAAATAATGAAAGAGGTTTATAATTATTTAAAAAAAAGTAATTTTAAATGTGTACAAAATTAAAGAAGCTAAGTCATCTGGCTTAGTTTGAAATAACCATCACCTCAGCAGCACTGAATGAATTAAGCACCACCAGCAGTGTGTTTTATTTGGCACACATAAAATCATAGAGCATATATAGCTCTCGCGCGCAGAAAAGTTTGCATGTATATAATTGTATGTCTTCAGCAAATTAAGTAACAAGCATCACTAACATAATTAACCAAGGGCTTTATTGGCTTCCCTCTGCACTGTGTTGCTGATCTTCTGAGATTTGAAACTGTGACAAATAGCATTGCGCAGAAAACAAGTTCAAATTTTCTGAAACTCTGTGTGTGTATCCAATGATATACACGCTAATTAAAAAGGACCTATACCTTTTGTAGGAATCAAATTCTCATCAGGAAAATTACTGCTTTGGTATCTTTTTCTGTAGAGTTACTGTGCCAGGAAATACCATCAAATTCATGCTCTTTATTAGTTTCTTGCTTCTCAAATCCAGGGGCTCAAACCCAAAAGAACGAATCCAAGTGTTCTTGACTTGTAACATGGATGATATGATCAATAACTCAACATTCAAAAAACTGAGTGCCTGGCATATAGAAAAGCCACAGAAATAGAAGTTAGTTTTTCTAGTATGCCAAACCAGAATGGTTTTAAATTATACAAACAGTTTCGTTGCAAAAAATTAGAGAGAAATACAATGCAGTTGCTATATAAAACCCTAAAAATCTTTATGTTCCTATCACAATCGAAGTTGTGGACATTTTTTTTAAACCAACGTAAAGTAAGGACATGTTTTTGTATAAATTTTTTCAAAAACATTTTTGGAAAGTAATATGAAAGAAAAATAAAATAAGTTTCTGTAAAAATTAAAATCAATTTATATTTCTCCAAAGTATATTTTTAATTTAGTTTATAAACAAACTTATTTTTAATTTTTTTCTTATTTGTTTAAAGTGTTTTTTTTTAAAAAGTATATCCAAACATGTTGGTATGCATTTTACGAAAGAGATAAATAACCTTAACTATATGTATGAATAATGAACTTACCGATACAATGCCTTTCATAAGTCGGCTGAACATTCCTTTTTTCCTATGAAGTGAGAGGGTCCCAACGTATGACATCTCTGCTACTTGGTTCCCGTGGATCCTATTTAATAAACTTTATCCTTAGTATACACTTTTCATGTACACAAATAGAAGTTTCACAACGACATCAAAAAAAAAAAAAAATAGAAGTTTCACAAAGTATGGTGGATTATACATTCGCCAAGCATTAAGGGTATCCATGGTTTAGTTCAGCACAAAATTCAAACGATCAATTGTGCTTTAATTTCAACTAAATTGAACTGTTTGTGTACTAAATGCAAAAGAAAGATTTGAAGCAGGAGATTTTTTACCCTTGGCCAACATGCAGTTATATGTACCCGGGAGACATAAAAAATTTAACAACTTTATAAAAGGAAAATTGATTCTTAGTATTTCGGCAGGAATTAAACTAAGGACATAGTTCATTATTAAGATGACATCTAACCACAACTGAAGAAAGTAACTTCACCTTAAGTAAAAAAAATAGTAAACAAGGTAAAATATTACTGATTTACAAAACATTTTAAAACATGTTGACTAAACAATGAATAAAATATTAATAATCCATTTCCTAGCTTGCTCCTGACTTACAATAAATATCGTACAATAACTATATTTAAAATGATATAGTCTAAATAATAATTAGCTTCAGAAAAATCTTTGAATTTTTTTAATAAATTTGGATATTACACTCTTAGTTAATGCTTTTATCATGGGCAAATTCTAGTCTTAACAGTCCAACAATTAAATCATTTGTAATCATATTAAGAAAGAAAAAATCATAGATTACATACAGATGGAATTGAAAACAATAAAAAACAATAACAAAACTAGTTAAAAAATCCAACAGTAATATTTTTGGACATCCCAGTAGTTCAAACATTCTATTAACATCATTGATCTTTATTTTTTTTCCTTCGTTTTACATCATGTCATTTATAATATCTATATTTTTTCTCTCTTTAAGTGTCTACTGTTATGAAGTATCTACGCATCATTTTCCTAAAATCCAATACGAGGTGATCGACAAAAAACCCAACACCAAAGAAAATAAATAAATCATTGTTAATTCGGCCTCACATGATAAATTTATATCCGATCTTCATTTAGTACACATGCATACTAACTATTAATCACATATAATAAGTTGCATAAAAGCATTTATAAGCAAATTTAAAATTTAAATAGACATTTATACCTGATAGTTGCAACACTGATAATCTCATCACCTTTCTCTAGAATTGCAGTAAAAAATCTCTCAAAATTCACGCGAGGGAAGTTTGACCTGAGCAAGATATATAACCACCACACATTATAAAAATAATAATACCTATCCACCCTAACATAGATATATTAGATTTTCAAGATACCTGAAATATGATCAAATAACTTACTTAACATAGATAATAGAGTGAAGGGTTTTTCGTTTTCACATGTATGGAAGTTTGGAGTGGAAGTGGATTGTAGGAAGTAAGGTATGCTTTATCATTTGTAGGTTAAAAATGACATATACCTTTTTTTCTATTATCCCATTCCTTGATTTCCTTCTAAAAGGAAGGGGAAGGGAATACAAACACTTTTGCTTAGCAGAAATAATTGGAAATATAATCCGAAACTGAAGGTCAAATACATTCAAATAAAAAATGAAACCTACAAGAAGTTATGTGTGAAACTCAACCTGCCATATAGTCATAAGAAAAATGTTTAAAAGCATGTAAAAGACACTAGTCAAGTGACCTTACCCACAATTATATAGAATACTGCGCATCATATTAACCCCGCTTATCTCATCTGTGTGTACCGAGAAGCAGTCTTTCAATACCGAATATGCAACACCTAGTTTGCAATTAGATTCAACCTTTCCCGGTTCTACTTGGGAGGTGTTAGAGTCAACATCTGACCGACGAATCAATGACCAAGTAAATCCATCTTCTATTGCATATTTTTTCCCAAGCATGTTTTCAAGTCTCTCATATACCTAGGAAGACAAAATAACAAATTACATATTAGTTAGTTAGATTACCATCTTTTCATAAAAAGAAAAGAAAAGAAAAGTATAAGATTACCATCACAGGGGATACATACCTTATAGTAACATGCAACACCCCAAATCCTTTTTTCAGTAGGTAGAGTCTATTACATGAATTAAATGACCGACATAATATTTTTATTATGAATCATGTCAATAACTAAACCATTGACAAATCTATTTTAATGGTTTTGCCTACAATGTTCCTCTTGAATCAAAAGGAAGGGAACACTCTCCTTATCAACGTTATAGCACTACAACAAAATTTATTATTACCGACAATTATTTAATGGCAATAAATTAATTACTTTTATTTTATTATTTAATAAAAGTATTAATAACTAATATATAATGACTACTAAAAATGTATCTACATTATACTAAAATTTACTATTAGTGATACTTATTTATTAAGAAAAATTTTAATCTCACATCGACTATAAATAAGAAAATTAAAGAGTATATAAATGAATGATAACTCTTATTATAAATTTGTTTTGTAGGTAGACCTATAACTTACTATTAGTAGAAGACAATCCTTATCTTACAAGTCTCATATCAACTAGAAATAAGGTAATTAAAAATATAAGAAAATTAAAAAGAATATATAAGTAGAAGACAACCCTCATCTTACAAATTCAACATCGACTAGAGATAAAGTAATTAAAGAATATTTGTACTCATTTTACAAGTCTCATATCAACTAGAAAGTAAAAATTGTCACAAAAGGTATACACTTTTTTCGAATATTATAAGAGTTTTTACCAGCATTTAGAATAATTGCCGCTAAATGTTTTAATGACACTGCATACAATGATTAATGTAAAAATGCCGGTAAAAGATTTTGTAGCAATTTTTATTGCCACTAAAAGTCATATTAAATGTCACTAAAAGTCTATTTTGTTGTAGTGTAGCACCCTACTTCAAGCGTAAACTTTAATGACTAATAGCAACTTCACAGTAAACTCTAGGCCAAGTCGATCTACTCAAGTAAAGAGGCTTGAGAGGCTGGAATAATGATCTAAATTCTAAACCCTAGCCTTATTGTCTCTCATTAAACACAAGGTTCCTTTCTCAGATTTTCATAAACTATGAAATAAATAATATGTTATCTCATGCGAGGCATTCTTCGTAGTGTAAGAAAATTTTGATAAAAAATAAAAATAAAATGTCCAATATGAAAAATATAAATTTTATAACTAGAAAGAGTTCAGAAGGTGTGTCATGTCCAAATTGAGCAAAACGTGAAATCCTGAAGAGGGAAGATATATACAAGACCCTATTTAGATAATTAAAGACAAAGTAATAAGATAATATTACAACATGAATTATGTAAGCTGATAAAAAAAAATGTGAATTATGTAAAACAAAAAACATTTTTAAGTTTTAGCCACGATTGTCAAAATCAAAAGATTAACAAAATAACTTAGCATCACCATATATAAATTTTACAAAAGCACCAATCAAGAGCTTCAAGAACATGAAATAGATAATGAATCATACCACTTTACATTCGTTTCCACATAATAATTCTAGTTTAGAATGATCAGGGTTGGCGCCACTTGCCTCGAGACAGGATTTATGATCTGCAAAAAAGATAAAACTGGGAATCATTTCTGGCGCGGGAAAGAAAATAACTTCAGAAATGAGTATATATCTAATTGATAAAAGAATACACATCTGCAGAGGATATACATTTTTCCCCGCATGTACGACATGCAGACATCAAAGACTGAACAAAACCTCCAGAACTGTCCTTTTGCTTTTCACCGTACAGCCCACAAAATTTGCAACGACAATACATACAGTACCAGACACCAGATTGAACTCTCTGAAAGGAAAAAAAACGCAGATGTTTTATATCTCAGTTCAATATTTTCTTCTTTCTTTTTTTTTTTTATCAACAAAGGAAAATTTTATTACACAGGACTAGAAACTGAGTAATGATATCGTACAAATTTTTTTTTATACAAATCACCAGACACACATAAACCAATATAAACATTAGTTGCATTAGTTTGCATAGGTGGATTTATCATGGATGCCCCAGCAAACAATAGTGTATAGGCATTAAAAATAAGATTTTCTCGGTGCTTCTCATGAAATGCAACAGAAACATGCGTATGAAAAAAAAAAATCTTATATATTAGCATTAAGAAAGCGCAATATCCATTCGTAAAATTGCATAAAAATAAGAACTTAAAATGAATTCTACAATTGTCTTACAATATTTAAGAATTGTTAAGAGCAATTACTTATATAATTGTGACGTCATCAAATAGTAAAATCGTATAAAAATTAGTTCTTCAATTTTAAGAATTTCTTAAAAATTTCATGGAAAATATTCTTAGAATTATCTGTATTAGTATAATTTTGTGACAGAAGAAAATTTATAATTTTTAAGAATTGTTCTCATATTTTATTCAATTAAAAAATGATTAAAGAGAAAAAAATGTAAAAAAGATATATGATGTGATTAAAAATAAAGTTATAAAAAATAGAATAGTTCATGTTATATAATTCTAATAAGAAATGCACAATGAAAAAAAATCTAATACAGTAAATTGTATGAAATGAAATGTAAAGGGTCCCTGAATTTGTAGGCTATAATCATGCAGATGGTACGTACTTCTAATCCCAAGCAGGTTTGATGGAACACTGAAGAGCAACCGTCGCAACAGATTTGTTGTTCACCTTCGTCTCCGCAGATACCGCAAATATCATCCCTTTGGTCACCATCAACACCACTAAAGAAATGATAAAAATTACAAGCATATTCATCTTGCATGTTCCATGCTTGTGTCAGGCATTGCAAGAGAGAAAGTCCTCCCTTCACACATATATTCTTCAGCGGATCACAGATTTTGCTTTTTGAATGAGCTTCAAACTCCGAAATCGACACAGATTTAGAACAGCACTCACACCAGATTTCACCTCCATCAATTTCACCACTCAGTAATACACATTTCCTTTCGTGATCCATATAAAAAACCCTCTCACGTGGTTTGATTACTTTCCTGTCAACCATCCAGGAAAGCACAGTTGTTTTTTCTTGCTTCTGTTGTTCTCTACGACGAGCCCTGATCGTTCTTGCACTATAACTTTGCTCCTTTTCAACATTTGCATTCACAGTATCAGGTATACGTGCTTCTCTTTCCACAGGAATCACTTCCTCATTGATCACAACTTTCTCAGCTTTATTCTCCTTCGGCTGAGAATTTCCGACCAATTCTTCTATTATCTCTTTTTTCAAGGACCTCCTTGGGCATATATCTTCGGTTTCATTCAACATGCTCACACCGTGTATCTGAGTTAAACGCCTAAAACCCCTTTTGCGGCGTTGAAATCGGGCTATTAGTTCAAGCCCTAGAATCCTGTCTTTGTAGGGATTGTTTTGAGGGTGTGATTCTCCATGCTGACCACTTACCGACTGGTTTCGTTCATTGAAGTTACTGACATTCCCTTCAGCCAAATCAACCACCATCCCACTAGAGCCCTCTCCCATGTTTAACATATCATAATTACTAAGATCCACTTCAATACCGCACGGACATTTTTCCCTTATATCTCTTGAACTCCCACCACATCCCTCATCTGATTCCTCTATTGTCGTTCTCTTTTTGTCATCTGTTACATCCATGGCCGGTCTTTGATTCTCACCAGACAAATCCTCCCTCGTTCTTGAAGGAAACCTAGTTCTACAATCAGTTGCAATTGAAACAAGCAAAAAAGAAAAAATTTAAAAGAAATTAAAGCACAACAGCAGAGCTAAATAATCACCACTAGCTAGATCTGACTTCCAGGCAAAAACTTACATTGATTACGCGTATAAAAAATTAGGTGATCGGGTTGAAAGGTGGATGCACTTGGTGCAATGAAATTCAATGGTGATTTCTGTTACGATGGTTACGAACACGAACTATGCCGGTGGCTGTGGGGGATTCTGCATCTTAGGTACATTCTGGGTTTGGGTGAATTTTCTTGTTTTTATGTAATGGCAGATCTGATGTAGGGGGGAAGAGGATATGTTTACCAAGTGATGAGCTGTTTTTCTACTTTGTTCCAATCTCAGGTCATGTAAGGATTGGGTGCTTTTTATACCCTTTATTCTCTTAATAATGAAACTTATTTCTTTGCTGATAAAATAAATAAATAAATAAATAAAATCTTAGTGCTATGAAAATTAATCAGAGTTTAACAAGGCTAAATAAAAAAAACAATGAAAGCTACAACAGATGATAAAGGTTACGTTAAAGATGTAGGAGCGAAATAAGACGAGTTAGAGAATTGAAGGGAAAACAAATGACTTTGGAGTGAGAGTGTAGAGACGAGGCAGTGCATTAGTTTTGGTTTAGGCTTTGATTTTGGAAAGAAACTGCCATTTTCTTTGCTGGTTGACTATTACTACAAGACATGAGAAAATAAGCATGGTTATAAAAAAAAAATTAACATATAAGAAACCATATATGACAATTTTTATACTTAATTACACTTTTAATTTTATTTTTATCAAGAATATGCTATTATACAACTTGTTCTCTTACATTCTTCACGGTTAATTCTACGATTATATACCTCGTCAAAAAGTCAACTTAATTACGGTCACTGCTGACTCACCTTAGTTGTTATCTCTACGGGGTTATCTTTTGTTTGGAAGACTTGTTTAAATGAATTCACTTCCAAAGATTTTGTTTTTATCAGTAAGATTTACGATAATGATAACACGACTCGAATACTTGAAGCAAATGGATTAGTCAGCTTAACTTAGTCTCTTCAATTTAGTTTGTGTTTGGGCCTTAAGTTGCAACTTAGTTAATACTGGAAGGCAGTTTTTATTTATTTATTTATTTTTTTATACTCATAGTGTGATCAATTATGATCTTATATCCGATTCAAACAAAGTTATCTATAGAAGATGATATATTAATTTCACCATCCATCAAAATTAAATTTCTATAGTTATTACTTTTCATTAAATAGGGCATTTAATTTTCTCTCACTTTATTAAATTATTTAATTTTACTTTAATTCTTCATTAATGAGGTGATTTTTTTAAGAATAAAACTTGAAGTAGATCTAATTTGACCCTTGAAAGATGGTAGAGATAATTGATAGGTTTTTAAATTTTTTTTGTTGTATATGAGTTCCTAAATTTTAATTTCGTTATGCGAGTTAATTCTTCCATTATACTCAATTAATAACTATTAATCTCATGATCAGATGACAGTTAATTGTCACATTGATACATATTTTTTCTCATATTTGACATGTAATTAACAATTACAAATTAAGTAGATTTAGATACATGATAAAGTAATGTTTAATTTTCTTATTTAACTTAAATATAATTGAAGTGACATTTGAATGATTTATTTCTTGTCACTCACTTCCATTCTCGTATTCCATTTTACCAATGAAATTGATCTATATGAAATGCGAACTCACTTATATGAAACAAGAGTTTGAGACATTGTTGAAAAGGAATGTCAGCTAAAAAAACCAAAGTAGCAGAGGACAAGTGAAAAGAAAAATTCCTTAAGTTTCTTGTTCGTGAAATCCTCAATAGAGTCTTGTTTCTAATGTAACAGAAAAAAATTATTACAACTAAGCTCTTCTCACTTCTACTAGAGAAGTTTTGCAATTTATTAAACATAACAAAAAATTCATATTTGATTGATACATCCATGCTTGAGATCTTTTAAAATAACCACTCATTTTGCACCTCAAATTCAATATTTAAGAGTTTACAACCCTAAATTACCTATAGTTAGAATAAACAAAAAAAAAACTATGGATGATTGAGATAAAAAATCTAACTACAGGAAACCCTGCGAAATTCAATAACAACTTTTCATTTTAACTAGAGCACCATTGACCTAAATATTTAAACACAACAAAGTGTCCGTTATTGATTAGAAAGTACTGAAACCTTGCATTATAATCCATATTAGGTGATTAGAAGAGAGAACAACCAACTAAGAGAGAAAGAATAAATGTCAACCTAATACTTAACTGTTAACTATTTAAGAAACTAATAGAGTTAATAATTGAGTATAATTGAGTTAGAGAACTAAATGCCACAAAATAATCTTTCAAGATCTATATATCAACCATATTTACCATCTTTCAAAGACCAAATTAAGTGTTTAGTCATAAAATTACACAACTATTCATTATTTCAAAGTCATCTGAAAGAAAAAGGACAAGTTTCTATAAAAGTAATTATATATGTTATTGACGTAGCCATTAAATTATAGGTTTTTCCTTCGGTGCAAGTTGTATTTAAAGAATTTTAATGTCTTAGTCAATAACTAATTATATTTTGACACCTATCCTATATTTTAAGAGTTAGTTAATACTTCTTTTCTCTTAAAATATAGGACAGGTGTCAACATATATATATATATATATATATATATATATAATTAACTATTGATCAAGAGGACATCAAAATCCTTTAAACACAACTTGCATCGAAGGAAAAACCTAAATTACAAAGATCCTAAATTTTACAACGATCAAAAGTAGATAACACTAATAGTTCGTAAATTATATTTTTTAATTATGAATTAAATTTTAGTTCCTTAGTTAAGTATTCTTACTAGTATAAAATGACATAACTATTCATTATTTCAAAGTCTTCTAAAATTAAAAAGGACAAGTAATTTCTAATTTAAATGTGTAATTTACAACCTATTCATTAGTATATAATTAAAGGATACATTTGTTTCTCATTCCAACAAAATTATATTTCTATATTTATTACTTTTCATTAAGTTTAGTTTTATAAGTTGGTCACTCTTTATTAAATTAATTATGTTTTTCTTTCTTCATAAATGTAGTGACTTTTAAAATAAAATCACATAACTATTCATTATTCCAAAGTCTTTTTGCTACATGTATATGCTCCATACAAGTCCACAACTTCAATTTGTGGCTGTAATATACACTACAAGAAAAACTGTTATTATCTACGGAATATTACCGTTATAGCACTACAACAAAATTTATTATTACCGACAATTATTTAATGGCAATAAATTAATTACTTTTATTTTATTATTTAATAAAAGTATTAATAACTAATATATAATGACTACTAAAAATGTATCTACATATTATTACCGACAATTATTTAATGGCAATAAATTAATTACTTTTATTTTATTATTTAATAAAAGTATTAATAACTAATATATAATGACTACTAAAAATGTATCTACATTATACTAAAATTTACTATTAGTGATACTTATTTATTAAGAAAAATTTTAATCTCACATCGACTATAAATAAGAAAATTAAAGAGTATATAAATGAATGATAACTCTTATTATAAATTTGTTTTGTAGGTAGACCTATAACTTACTATTAGTAGAAGACAATCCTTATCTTACAAGTCTCATATCAACTAGAAATAAGGTAATTAAAAATATAAGAAAATTAAAAAGAATATATAAGTAGAAGACAACCCTCATCTTACAAATTCAACATCGACTAGAGATAAAGTAATTAAAGAATATTTGTACTCATTTTACAAGTCTCATATCAACTAGAAAGTAAAAATTGTCACAAAAGGTATACACTTTTTTCGAATATTATAAGAGTTTTTACCAGCATTTAGAATAATTGCCGCTAAATGTTTTAATGACACTGCATACAATGATTAATGTAAAAATGCCGGTAAAAGATTTTGTAGCAATTTTTATTGCCACTAAAAGTCATATTAAATGTCACTAAAAGTCTATTTTGTTGTAGTGTAGCACCCTACTTCAAGCGTAAACTTTAATGACTAATAGCAACTTCACAGTAAACTCTAGGCCAAGTCGATCTACTCAAGTAAAGAGGCTTGAGAGGCTGGAATAATGATCTAAATTCTAAACCCTAGCCTTATTGTCTCTCATTAAACACAAGGTTCCTTTCTCAGATTTTCATAAACTATGAAATAAATAATATGTTATCTCATGCGAGGCATTCTTCGTAGTGTAAGAAAATTTTGATAAAAAATAAAAATAAAATGTCCAATATGAAAAATATAAATTTTATAACTAGAAAGAGTTCAGAAGGTGTGTCATGTCCAAATTGAGCAAAACGTGAAATCCTGAAGAGGGAAGATATATACAAGACCCTATTTAGATAATTAAAGACAAAGTAATAAGATAATATTACAACATGAATTATGTAAGCTGATAAAAAAAAATGTGAATTATGTAAAACAAAAAACATTTTTAAGTTTTAGCCACGATTGTCAAAATCAAAAGATTAACAAAATAACTTAGCATCACCATATATAAATTTTACAAAAGCACCAATCAAGAGCTTCAAGAACATGAAATAGATAATGAATCATACCACTTTACATTCGTTTCCACATAATAATTCTAGTTTAGAATGATCAGGGTTGGCGCCACTTGCCTCGAGACAGGATTTATGATCTGCAAAAAAGATAAAACTGGGAATCATTTCTGGCGCGGGAAAGAAAATAACTTCAGAAATGAGTATATATCTAATTGATAAAAGAATACACATCTGCAGAGGATATACATTTTTCCCCGCATTCTTACACTACGAAGAATGCCTCGCATGAGATAACATATTATTTATTTCATAGTTTATGAAAATCTGAGAAAGGAACCTTGTGTTTAATGAGAGACAATAAGGCTAGGGTTTAGAATTTAGATCATTATTCCAGCCTCTCAAGCCTCTTTACTTGAGTAGATCGACTTGGCCTAGAGTTTACTGTGAAGTTGCTATTAGTCATTAAAGTTTACGCTTGAAGTAGGGTGCTACACTACAACAAAATAGACTTTTAGTGACATTTAATATGACTTTTAGTGGCAATAAAAATTGCTACAAAATCTTTTACCGGCATTTTTACATTAATCATTGTATGCAGTGTCATTAAAACATTTAGCGGCAATTATTCTAAATGCTGGTAAAAACTCTTATAATATTCGAAAAAAGTGTATACCTTATCAACTAGAAATAAGGTAATTAAAAATATAAGAAAATTAAAAAGAATATATAAGTAGAAGACAACCCTCAT